CTTCATTCTGAAGAAAGAAGTAGATTGGGTTCAAAAACTTAACCAACATCTATGTAGATGATTCTTAAAACGTCGTGCCATTGTGCCCAGAAACATCAAAACTGATGTGAGTTCAAAATGTGAAATGATTGAATTGCTCTAACATATCATTAAAAGCTTCACCAGGGCAGACTGTAGATAACAAAGATCCTGGGATGGATTTTAGATCCACCTGCTGGTACAGCCAGCTTCATCTACAACTCCAGCTACAGACTTTAAGTTGCTTCTTTTGGTATGTATGACATCATAGTGAGTCTGTGAGCCCTAAGGATCCTGTTATTCAGCCTGAGGTTTAAGTCAGTACCATGACACAAGTGGTTGGTATGAAGGAGAGCTGCGTCCTTATCTGTCTATAAGCATAATAGTATTTGCACACATAGGCATGAGCCTCTTTTGACATGTGATTAATAAAGTGACTTGGTATGATAAATAAATAGCAGCAAGTAATGTAAACAGCAGAGAAGAGAGGCAGTGTTGTACCACAGTAATGCAGAGTGCAGTTATATAATATAATGTAGTGTAATATAATATAATATAGTGCAATATGAACAATATAGTGTAATATAATGAAATGTTATATAATATAGACTAGTATAATAATATAATAATAAATATATAGAATGTACAGTATATATGTATATATATATATTGACCTAAGTAATAATAATAATACAATAATACAATAATAATAATGAAGCAGGTCATGTGGGTAGTGTTTTATGGGGGTGAAGTTTAGTGTCAAGGATGGACTGTTATTGTTGTCATAGGCTGCTGTTGTACAGTCTTATGGCAGTGGGCACAAAGGAGCGCCTGAAGCGCTCTGTTTTGCACCTGGGGGGGATGAGGCGTTGGCTGAAGGAGCTGCCCATCTGCCACAGCTCACCATGTAGAGGGTGAGAGGAGTTATCCAGGATGGATAAGATTTTGTCCTTCATCCTCCTCTCACCCACTGTCTCCAAACTGTCCAGATCCAGACCCACTACAGAGCGGGCCTTCCTCACCAGCTTGTTCAGCCTGTTTGCTTCACCAGTCTTGATACCACCCCACCAGCACACCACAGTAAAGAAGAGGGCACTGGCCACCACAGACTGGTAGAAGGTCTTCAGGAGTCTGTTGCAGACACTGAACGATCTGAGTCTCCTCAGGAAGAACATCCTGCTCTGTCCCTTCCTGAAGAGGGCGTCAGAGTTGTGAGACCAGTCCAGTTTATTGTTGATGTGGACCCCAAGGTACTTGTATGAGTCCACCGTCTCCACTTCCTCCCCCTGGATGATGACTGGGGCAGGGGGCTTCTTCTTCTTCCGGTAGTCCACTACCACCTCCTTTGTTTTGCTGATGTTGAGCTTCAGGTGGTTGCTTTCACACCATGTGACAAAGCTCTCTAACAGTCCTCTGTACTGCTTCTCGTCGTCATCAGTGATGCACCCAACAATGGAGGAGTCGTCGGAAAACCTTTGGAGGTGGCAGGAACCAGAGTTAAATCTGAAGTCTGAAGTGAAGAGAGTGAAGAGAAAAGGCGCCAGAACAGTTCCTTGAGGTACTCATGTGTTGCCCGTCACTACATCAGAGACACAGCCGTCGACTCTGACATACTGTGGCCGGCCCGTGAGGTAGTTGAAGATCCAGGCTGAGATGTCAGGGCGCAGCTGCATATCCAGCAGTTTGTCCCTCAGGAGGCAGGGCTGGATGGTATTGAAAGCACTGGAGAAGTCAAAGAACATGACTCTCACAGTGCTTCCCTTCGTCTCCAGGTGTGACAGGGCTTTGTGGATCAGGAAGATGATAGCATCCTCCACACCAATGTGCCTCTGATATGCAAACTGCAACGGATCCTGGAAAGCAGTGAGCAGGGTCCTCAGGTGCTGGAGAACCAGCCTCTCAAATGTCTTCATGACATGTGACGTGAGTGCCACAGGTCTGTAGTCATTAAGAGCACTGGGACGACCTTTCTTTGGTATCGGGACGATGCAGGAGGTCTTCCACAGGTCAGGCACCTTCATCAGCCTCAGGGAGAGGTTGAAGAGGTGCTGAAAGACTCCTGCAAGCTGCCCAGCACACACCTTGAGGATCCTGGGACTGATGTTGTCTGGTCCACTGGCTTTTCTGATGTGGAGTCTGGAGAGTTTTCTTTGTGCCTGGCTGGTAGTAAGAGTGAGAGTGGGACAGTGAGCGGGGGAGGGGTGTGGGGAACTGTCTATTGTCATGCAGGTACCTGAAGGGAGGGAGCAGGGGGGTGAGGGTGAGGGTGGGCTGTCCTTTGAAGCTGCTGATGAGGAGCTGAGAGAGGGGGGGGAGGTGGTCAGGACCTTGATGGGAGGAAGAGGAAGAGCAGAGTCTCCAGCAGAGATGTGAATGGGGCTGAGGTGGTGGGGGAGACCTAGACCCACTATTTGAGCTCACTGGGTCGGGGGATGTGTCAAACCTATTGAAAAATAGTTTCAACTCAGCAGCAAATACTGGGTCTCCTTTAATTCTGGGTTCCGGCCTGCTGCGGAACCCAGAATCATGTCTCTGTGAAGCAAAGCAAACTGCACTCCCTGTAGACACTCTGGCTGTTTACTAAAGCTGTAAGTTCGTCCGCTTTGTTGGTGAGTGACCTGACGTTCCCCATGATGACCGACGGTAGAAAGGGTTTAAATTTCCTGTCTCTCTCAATCAACTCCCTGACTTTAGCGCCGGCTTTCTTCCCCCGGCGGACACCTCTCCATAACTCCAGGAGGAACATCGGCTCCATGCCTGAAGCTCAGTAGTTCCTCACGAGTGTACGTGATCATTCCAACAGTAGAAAAAAAAGTCCCGAAAGAAACACGTAATTCCACGAGTAATACCGCAACTAAAATGCTGCAGCAGTGTCCCACAATAGCCACCGAAACAGTGCAAAAATACTTAATAAAAGCAAGAAAATAGACGAAATAAAGAAAAAAGAGTCGGAGCTGCTGCAACAGGCTGCCGACTCTCAGCGCCCGTAGAAGGCGTTAATGTTTCCTGTCTTAACTGTACGCTGAGTTAGCTTACTGCTTGTTGTAAGCCGGTATGAATCTTCTCATCTACCTCTCTGCAACAATGCATGTAACTAAAGTCACACCCTTGAGAAGGGTGACGTGTGACTTCAGTGGCCACGCTTGGCCAATTCTTTCGATATGTGTCGAAACACTGGTCGGTCATGGTATACAACCTCTCAAGTTTAACTTTACATTAGTGTCAACCTGAAGTACTTATGAGGTCCAACACCTCACTTACAACCTGATGTCTTCCATGTTCACTGAGCACGAGTAATCACTGGTCCCATCCATCTTTTAAGAGTGAACGCATTCTAACCTGGCTGTTCAGACTGAGGTCGCAATGAAAGATATGCGACCTGTATCTGATTACAGACCACATGCGAGGTCCGATTCAATCTAAAATCAGATTTTAAATGATCATGTGACTTTTTCTGTTCACACTGTAAAAAAGAATCACATCTGAATCACATACTGTATGAGCAGAAAAACAGATTTAAGTCCTTTTGCCAGCAGTATGAATGAAGACTAAGGTAAAACTACCAAATGTAAAATATCATAAAACATTATTTTGACAGCCAGCTGCTGCTAGTATTTCTTACTACATCTATTTTATAGTTTTATCGGGACCACACACACACACACACACACACACACACACACACACACACACACACACACACACACACACACACACACACACACACACACACACACACACACACACACACACACACACACACACACACACACACACACACACACACACACACACACACACGCACGCACACACATATACAGCATATTCAAGTTGTCTACAAGTACTTCAAATAATTGCTATACCATTAAAACAAAAAAACAGTGTCTGTGCTGAGGACCCTGAAGAAGGTTGTTTGTGCTGCTTGTTACCTTGTTTTTTAACATTTCTATGATGAAAGCTAATTTAAAAAAAAGGCTTTTTACTTTTCTTAGAAGACTGTCTTGTTTTTTTTTTTTTTTTCATCTTTTTGAATTGCTATACCATGATTTGAAAAAAATGAACTTTTCCATCTCTATCCCTTGCCATAAAGAGACAGTGACATTTTTGCACTAACCAATGTGTCCACAACCCAGGAAATCTCATCACTCTGCCATTATGCCCAAATCCCTCTTGTATCGATTGGCATTGAGGCAGCTGTTAGATGTCATCACTGACTGTTGCTTCAAGGTTTGTAAGAGACATTTTCCTTTCAGCTTTGAATCCATTGAAACTTTTTTTCTGTTACATAAAATGTATGAATCACCGAAATGGACCTGATCCCCCCCACCCCGAACAATCATTTGTTTGGAAGTGAAAGAACATGTAAATGCCTTGATTTGATTAATTGAAGTCTCAAGTACACCTCCATTTCTTTAATATATTGCTTAATGAATATGAAATCATGTTAATCAACGGCATAGTGCAGTAGACTGTTTATGGCACTAAGGGGTAAGGTGAGAACCACTTGTATACCTCACAATAAACCTTTGATTAAAATCACATACTGTATGCATAAGTCACAACTCGGAAACCTGCTGCATCTGAAGCCTTTGCATGCTCAATTCAAAGTTCTTACATATAAATGATTGATTATAGAATCTGGAACATGAACAAAGGCTACTGTAGAAGTACAGCTGGGCTGAGAAATACAGTTAGTGTTCTAGTTTGGGATATGGAAGTCTTGGCGAGTAAAAGAGTTCAAAACACTGTTTCATTTTCTAGGCACTGACTTTTAAATCTTCATATTTCTCTTCTGGTTTCATAGGAATGATTCAGGGAGATGTTTCCAACAATATCACTCAATATTTATGCAACCCCATTATTTTTCTATCTTCTCCCCTCCTTTTGATGTAGACACTCACTGTCGTTAAATAATTAATTTAGTGCATGAATATGCAGGCGCATGTGTACAACACTTGACTCTTAAAAGCAAAGTTTCTCACCTGGAGATCTGAAGGTCCAGGCCTCGTCATCATCAAAGTGTGTATCCCCAGCTGTGAACCTCTCTCCGGGGAAAAATGCGTGTGCCACGGTGCCCCCCGGCCCGTCAAAGGGATATCCATCATCGTGGTCGGCCTTTGTGAAGTCAATTTGAATGTCGGCGTCACTTCCTGCCACCTCGTGGAAGTTAAGTGGTGCGATGTCGCTCCAGACCTTCAAAGCGTAGTACATCAGGGCTCGAACAGTGTCCCTACCCAGTAAGGCTGAATCCTTAGGGAAGGTCCGCACTCTGAGGGAAGAAAGGGAGGAGAAGGATGAGTTACAAAAGATAAGATAGAAGAGGAACTAAGGATTTTAATTCTTAGTTGTGTTGTTTGCCTCGTCAGAACCCCGGGGCAGTTTTGCTAAGCAGAGACCAACGAAGACGCTTCATAAGTCTTAAGTTTGTTTCAAATCATTCATTGAAACTGTGAATTCATGAGAGCAACCCATCTGGGTGCTTTGCCCAAACGATGCCGGCCTTTATGGGTGAAATCATTCCATCTGAGTGAATAGCGGTTGATGGAAAAGTCGGGGTCTTCACAGATTTAAAGGCTTGAAATATGAAAACCGTACTTTGAAACGGCAAGTTTGAGCCTAAATCCTATGACCAGTGATGTAAACATTTAAAATATGACATTTGTGAACAGTGATCGGCAACATAACGTTATAAAATAAACACAATTAAAGGTGTACAGGAGTGTTTGTTCAGTCTCTAGCACATACTGTGATCAGAGGAGTCGTACTGACCTGATGAGTAATTATTAACCTCGTTCCCCGAGAGGGATCTTTACTTTTAAATAATATATCTTTGTAATAGTTTCTAACAGTGTTCATAGCTGTAATGGACTGGTTATGGACGTTTAGTTTAGAGAAAAAAGGACATAAACTCTGGGTTATCAGCTGATTTAGAAAAGAACAACATACATAAAGTCACCAAGATGATATTAAAACCTTTTGTATTTATACGTAAATGTTTACGAGTGGGGCGAGACGAGGAGGTGTTAAATCCGGCTAGTGAACTTTTTACTTTGACATTTATTTTTTAGTAAGAGGATTTAGTGTCGTGTTCCTCAGTTTAGAGACATTCTCACAACCCATCAACCTGCTGTCTCTGATGTTATATACTGGGTTTATTTCTGATTAGATTTTTAATTGTGCCAATAATGTTTTTTCACATGTAGTATGAGATGAACTGTAAAGATAAACGTCTAATCTTTGTCAAATTAAGGGCAGAAACTTCCGGATAGGCATTTGAATACAGATCTGATGCGTCTTTCTTTAGGTTAAATTACATCACTGCTGTTGGCCACCTTTGCAGATGTTCATAGTAATATACATAACACCATGTTTTTCCAAAACACAGGGGTTGTGTGACTTAAACCACTTTGTCAACATACCCTATTAAGCGTGCAAGACTTTCAAATTTCTGATGAACCATCTGCAAGTATGTTTCAGGTCAGCAACAACCCGCTGCTCAGCTTCACTTTAAATTCATGCAGGAAAAATCAAGACCTTAAAAGCTCAACTTACAATCTAAAGAACTTTTGTCTCCAAACCTTTATCCTGATAACCTGCTGACTTTTTTTCTCACATCCACTGAGGATAATTAAAGTCAAAACAGCTTTTGCCACCAGCCACATTTAAGACCTTTCATCCCCACATGAGTTAAAGCAGCAGCTGTTTGGATGAACTGTGCTTGTAGCTGAGGCTGACCGGACCTTTACTGTCAAAGTCAAATTTCTTAGCACCTGCCTGAGGAGCTCATACAAGCCATATCTCTTTAATCTTTTAAATCACTACTCAAGGAAAACTTGTACAAACAAGCAAGATCGGTCTGAGTTAACCTCTGTTTCAGTTTGGCTCTCTTTCACCAAAGCTTACTTTTTTACTTTCTTAAACTGGGCTCATGGATCCTGAGCAAAGGCACTTTTCTTGAACTGCATGCCAAACTAACTTCTGTATTTTCCTCCAAACACACCACCTAAAATCAGCAAACCAGCACTTCATTGCATATAGATGTCCTAAGAGCCAAGCAACCAAAGTTTAAAACGCAGAGGTCTGTGAGGAAAACTAGAAGATATAGCACAAATCATTTTAGAAATTCTGAGAGCATCTATAATCAATATTATCATATTAACTATGAATGGCTTTTACAAAATGAATCACTCATGAACCCACACTGATTCATATTAAAGGAGTTTCACTCAGCTTAGGGGAGCGACTCTAGGCCTCAGAAGGTACTGTAGGTACTTTAAGCAGGTTTTAACTTGTTAGGAGGTGGTGGAGAACAAAAACGCAGACACTCGACGAACTGCAGGATCTTGCACTGCCGCATTGACTTAATTTTTCAAGATCGGAGGTTGCCGCTTGGTTTCTAGGCATTAATAATAATAGAAATGACCAATCTTGTCACTGATGTTCATGTTTAAAAAATAAATAAATCATAAAGATACATAAATATTATTTTCAGTCCATTTCATAACAAGGAGCTTTAACATTGTCAGCCTATTTACAATTCAACAATTCTACAATTCACTTAGCAGACGTTTTATTCCAAAACGACGTACATCAGAGGGTAAGAACAACACAAGCAAGGATCTAGAAAAAAGTAAACAACGTCAGTAAGAGCAAACGATCAGCTTTGAGTCCAATTGGACACACAGGTGCTGACAGGCATTGCACAGAGGCAAAGCACAACATTGACGGCAGTTCTTGAGAGCTCTAAACAGTATAGAAACATCTTATAAGTCATCGTTATCAAACAAAAACCATCATCATTACCATCATCATCATCATCAATAATATTGAGACCTTCGTCATCATCTTCATTAAGTTAGTAGGTATTCATGAAAGAGCTGGGTCTTTAACTTTTTCTTAAAGGTTCAACGGGATTCTAAAGATCGAATGGAGTTTGGTAGTTTGTTCCACCACCGGGGGGCGACAGAGGAGAGTCTAGATAGCTACTTAGGACCCTGATGTGAAGGTTGGATCAGACGCCTTTCATTGGCAGAGCGTATTGGGCGGGAGGGAGTGTAGACCTGGATTATAGAGTTTAGGTAAAGAGGAGCCGTTTTTGTTGCTGTATTTAATAGTCAGCAACATTACCATCGTGTCATTTGCTAAGCGCATTAAAAAGCATTGAAGATTATTCTTGATGACCTTCTTTCATAGTTAAGAATATAAATGTTAACGTATAAAAAAAAAATTAGAGATAAGTATACAAATACATGTTAAGTCCTGCAGTGGAGAAAAAAAAGTCTGCCATGTTAAATCAGTTCTTTCTTTTTAATTTCAGTGTCTGTCCTCCCTATAGTCAAGGCTCACATTACCTGATGTTTTCACTACAGTGAACGCTCGAGCTGCCTGTTGTTCTGCTGTTACCGCCATGTCTGAAAAGGACCCAGCGATGCAAATGAGTCCATTAGAGCAGCTAATTAATGCATTAAGTAGCAAATACGTCACTGTCAACGTGCTGTCACAAAACACATGGGTGGTATCAGCAGCATAAGCTTAAACCTAATAAGTAAGTGTTGGTTTGAAAATGAGACTTAGCTCATTAAGATGCAAATCAATGAAGCGATAGTCACTTCAAGTCTAATCACATCACATATCCTACGGAGAGATAGTGTAGTTACTGGGATTATTTTCTCGTGTTGATTTGCCCACACAAATGTGCCAACGTAGCCCACTTATTCATTCCGCCAGATCGCCTGACCCTCACTGCAAACCACAGTTAGCCAAGGTCACCGCTAATAGCTCAGCCTCCACAGACGATTCACCTGCTTATTAGTCTTAATTCAGACGGACGAGAGCGTTTGTGTGTGTGTTTGTGTTTGGGGAAATGTTGATGAGGGAGAAAGATGGAGAGGCGCAGTGCTTCGTTTTGTCAGTGTCTAAGTGTTCACGGGCATCCAAATGTGTTTGTCAGCTTGTGAGTGTGTGTGTGTGTGTGTGTGTGTGTGTGTGTGTGTGTGTGTGTGTGTGTGTGTGTGTAATTGTAATTGTAAGCAAGTCCGCCAAGGTCAGAGCATTCCTTCCATGCATATTAGATGTATTGAGGAGACCTAGGGAACTGCTTGTGTTTACATTTGGAGAGTATAGGTGCATATCAAGTGAAGCAGGTGTCGTATCCCCTGTGGTGCCTCCTCTGAATCTCATCCTTACAGAACACGTCAGGTATTGTGTCCCTGTGTTGACAAAAGAACAACGTATTTCTTACCGCTTTGTTGATTATGTTTTCATTAGTGGACCAACTGGTCAGCTCAGATGTTTATTTCACAGCTTGATTCAATTCTTTTAGTCTATTTAAAGGGGACACATTATACCTCTTTTCCACCTTTTCAAACAGTCCCCTGTGGTCTACGTGAAACATCTGTGCTGTGCTTTGGTCAAAATATAACATGAGTCAGCACCAGAGGAGGCTTGTGAGCCTGTATAAATCAGCTCTCTCAGAACACTCTGTTTTGGTGTGTGTGTCTCTTTAAATGCAATGGGCCCCCCCCAATTTGTATTATTCATAATCATAATTGAAGCAAACATATATTGTTATCACAAATTAAGTGAAATGCTCCAAACAAAAGATTAAGTTGGCAATTCAAGATTACTTTCTTAATTTTATGATCAACATGTAGAAAGTCAGTATATTCAGCCGATACATCGGCAAAAAGGTTCAAATGATTAGTAACTTTATACAAACTACGATTCATAACTTTACTTGAAATAAATGAAATGAATTGCTGGTAAACTGGTAAATGGACGTGAGCTTGTTTAGCTTGTTTTAGCCTTCTGACTACTCAAAGCGCTTTTACACCGCAGGTAACACCCATTCACACACTGATGGCAGAGGCTGCTATGTACTGTACGTGTCCATCAGTATTAGCTAATCTCATTCATACGCCGCTAACAAAGAAGCTGGAGCAACTTGGGGTTAAGTAAGTCCAAGGACACATCAGACATGTGCCTTGTCTGATGCAGGAGCTCCTGTAGGGATCAAACCCCCGACCTTCCAGTTGACAGATGACCGACTCTACCACCGCTCTACTTTTCATCATTAAAGTCTTGACTCAATACAAAGTTTTCCTGAAGGAGTTTCTTGACCAAGACTGAGAATAAGATGAAACATAAATTTTTTACAAAGTCAAAATTATTACATTTACCTCTATTTATGATATTATCTTACGGTCAAGTACTCCATTACCTGCACTGGAGTGCACTGAGATCCAGACAAACCAACACAGTGTGTGTGTT